TCCGGTGAATGGAGCCACTGATGGACTGATTCTTGGTCAGGACTGGCGCGGGCATGGGTGGGGGTGTCCACGTGTTTCAGCAATATTTGCAGAAAAAATGCTGGGACTTGGGACTCCTGGATTTTGTTCCAGTCTCTGGACGAGTGTCTTTGTAGGGGCACAGACTCTTCTGCCCATTTTTAGGCAGAATGCTTATGAGTTGTTCATATTTGGCTGGATTTTCATGGCAACGTCTCTCACACAAAAAGCCACTCCTATTCCAAAGTTCAAGTCCTTACTTCAAAGCATGGAACTGGTACAGCTTTTCAAAGGAAGGCTCCTCAGAGTTTGAGATTAGTAAAACAATATATTTTTCCCAGCAGAAGAGTTTCAGCTGAAATTTTAAAAACAAATAAATGCATAAATCACAATTTAGCCTGAGACAGACGCCCAGCATGGACAATTTCAGCCAGAACATTTAAAGTTTGGCAAAGCTGTAAGAGACTGAAAATTGTCTCATCATGTGAAGTGTGTGGCATACTTCATACAAGGCGATATTATCAGCTGCAAGTAATCCAAGCTGCACATATAATTCACAGACGTAGATGTTAGGGAAAGGAAAAAACAGTTTTAATAGATCAATTAGCGCTACGTCCCAGCCTGAATCAAACTGTTGAACAAAACCCCACAAAATCTGGTATCTGCTTCAGCGAATGTCTTAAGTCGGACATTCTCCAAAACACAAGTGAATAATTTAGCTAATACTAGGTAAATGTATTTAACTCTATGTAGTTGAATTTCCTTGAAACAGACTATTTGCTGACTTTTGAATACAGCACTGCTCTGTTTTCTTGCATGCAATGATTATGTGTTGACTTGATATACTAGAAATTTCCCTATCAGACATACGAAATAAGCCAGAGGACTTTTTTTTTTTTTTTGGTGGTGACCTTATAGCATAAAATGACAAAGCAAATTGCAATATTTGTAAGTTACAAAATTATCCTATAACCTTTTAAAGTAGACGTCAGCTTCCTATACCCACAAGGAGTTAATCTATCCAGGGTACATTATGATCTTTAGTAATTGGAAGCGATCGGGCAAAGTGCTGTAAACCTGGCAGAAATTTGTTGCCTCGTTTTCTGCAAACCACAAGCACAGCTTATTAATTGAGAAATGAACATTAACTGGCATTAGCTGGCATCTGTAAACTGAAAAAGAGAAATGACTATGGTGCACATTCAGCTGTAAACGGTAGAGCTGCAAAGCTGCAACAGGTAAAATTGGTTTTTAAGCGCGAATGCAAAACCATTTCAGTCGGCTGCTGGCAAATGCCCAAGTCTAGGGTTTTTAATGAGGCTTCTGCATCAAAATAAGTGAAACCACATGGAATTTTAATTGTTCTTATTCTAAATATGAAACACACTGGAGCAGTATTCTTGAATCTAGGATGTTAGCATGTATATCGGGATATTAACATGACCAGTTTTCTGTTCTAAATGTATGTCTCTCAGAAAACTTGAGTGCCAGGTTACGTTACGGAGGAATCAGCTTGGAAGATTTAAAAACAGTTTAACCCAGACTCTTTCAGATGTGAAGCGTTTTTTAAAAAAATATTCTTTTTTTTTTGGTCCTGTCAAGCATGGTGAGCTTATCAGAGTGTGTAGGAAAAGAAGGTCGCTTGCTGTGCTTGGTGCTGTGTTTCTCTTTCTGGCGGCACAAAACGAAGGCTCTTCTCTTTACAGAAGTGTGGTTTCGCAATCTTGCGGCCGCAATGTAGGGCGGGGGATCTGTGCTTCACCCATTTAATACAAGCTATCACGAGAGTGGGAATTCACAGATGCAAATTGTTTTCTTGCTCTGACAGAGGAAAAATTAGCATAAATCTTTAATCCTGCTGGGGAGAGGAATAAATAATTTACTTGCACTGTCATGTTACTATATTGCTGATTGACATCGCTATTTGCGTGCAACTAGATATACAAAGATGGGTGCCATACCCAAAAGAGCTGTTTATCTTCCCAGTCCAGCAAAGAGCTAAACATATATAAATGAATATGCATCTGGTGTTTGCAAGTTAGAATCAAAATCAACCATAACACAAGGACATAGCATGGAGGGAGGAGGAGATTGAAAATGCATGAATGAGATTGCATAGCGGTGAGGATGGCACGAAGCTGAATTTTAGAGGTGACTTTTTAAAAAGTTTCTGGACTCACTTAGAAAAGAGCCTTTAGAACAGGCATCACACCAAACTTTTTCTGATCTCCAAAAATGACTTTACACAATGGAGATACAGAAGGCTGGGAACAAATCGCAGCCTGGTGCAGGGAGTTATTGAGGTGGCAAAAGGCATTCGGGCAGAAGAGGGGTTGGCGAAGCGAGTGTGCAAGAGCCGTGTAGACAAAGCCGTGAGTGAGATAAGAAAGGGTTATGGTTGTTTGGCCTTTGGGTAAATAGGGTTGTGCTTTACAATCAACAGTAGAAACCAACAAGTGTAGATTTACTGGGGTGTGTAAGGAGGTCTGTAGCCTCACATTAGACATGCCTACGTGTGGTGTGCACATTCCCAGCCATTCCACGCATACATGATCCCTTGGCAGCACCCATACAGATAATATTTGGATCTAGCCCTGAAAGGGGGATTGCCTTTTATTGTGGAAAAATGTGTGGATAGTTTGTTATTAAGGAAAAAAAAAAAAGTATTGGTTGCAAAGAAACCAAAAATGCTGATGTTCTTCTACACCTTTACACTCATAACAATTCTACCTTTGATTATAAAAGTCTTGTTTAGCTTCTATCAGGGTAAACTAAGAGCAACTCTGTTCCTGCTGGGAGAGTTGCAATAACAATAATAATAATAAAAAAAAAGAGTATAAGCTGTAGCAGATTGAAACTCAAGTATTTTGAGCAGCTGGGGAAATTATGTTCTAACCTTATATTTCCAGATAGGTATCAGACCTGTTCACAATATAAAGGATAGCGTTCCAAAATTACGGCTTTGAATCTGGGTGGTATTGCCTCTGGCTATTGTTTGCAGTTGGGAACGAAAGAAGTTGCATCAAGTAGTAGAGTGTTTGCTGTAAAGGTACAAGTTATATTACATTCCACAGGGCTGTGGTTGGAGGGGTTGATGATGGAGACAGACCCATTCACCCCTAGGTCACTGATTCAGTTCCAGATAAAGATAATAGTAATCACATTGTCATCAGAGTTAAAATGGGCTTTTTCTGCCCCTTTAAAGCTCTGTACTCAATATCTTTCGAGGCAGTGGATTATAATCCCCAGGTTTTAGGCTGTGTGATTTGGATGCTTGGCTGGCTCAGGTCCTCCAGCCTGAACCCAAGCTGTACCTGAGCTTTGCCCCCCTGCTGCTTTGAGATACCATTGCAGGTGTGGGTTAAATGAGCTGGTAGAACAGGAGAGAATAGTGATCTAAATCACAAAATGTGCCGCACAAGGTGGCAGGGTCTGTAGCAACCACCGTTGTGGGTGCCGTAGGGAGCAAGAGCAGAAGGGCTGGAGGGACCTTCCTTCTACACAGCGGTGTCAGCAGGTCAGATGCAAAGCCTGTCTGCAAGGAAGAGCATTGCTGCATCTTACATTGAGGGTAGGCAGGGTGTTTCAGTGTTTAGTATGTCAGTTTGGCATCTAGAAGATGCCGTATTTTCCTTTTAGGTAAATCAGATTCGGTAGATTGGCAAAGAGATGGGTGAAGCCTTGGATCTAGGGGACTGTAAAGCTGTAGAAGTGTCAGCTGGGAAGCACAGGGAGAGCCCATTTGATTTCACAATTTTCCACCTTTATTTATAACGCGCTCTTTCCAGCTCTCTCTCTCAAAAAAAAATAATGTGTCTACTGCATACTGGCTGATGCATTTCCCTCCCTCTTGCACTGTACTTCTTCATTATACTTTTTCTCTTTCCTTCTGTCCCTTTTCCCACACCCTTTTGTTTTCCATTTTTCTGGCTCTCAACACAAGCCTTCACCATCTTTCTCTTCTGCTCCTGTCCATCCCACAGTCTCCTAAGCAGATCACCAAGCTACTAACGTTTGCTTTCTGCTCTGAAACTTTGGGTGTTTGATGTGGGATTAGAAATTAGGCAAAATGAGTTTACCCATCCCTGTTTTGCGTTAGAATCCAATTCACAGCGTTACCATCCAGACGTTCACAGTAGCCATAAACTGTGTGGTCTTTTTTTCAACCAGACTGCACAGACTACATATGAAAACAACTTTTTTCAATGGCAGAAAGACTGTTGGGCTTGTAATTTTCCATCAACTGCACTGAAAAGTAAAATTTGCATCTTTGCTATCCGCTCAGCGGCCTTGCCCGTCCTTCGGATGCAGCAAATAATGTTTTTCAGCCATAGGAATTAGCTGAGAAGATTCTCACCTAAATAAATTGATTTAAGGCAAGAAGTGGGGCTTGGTCACCACTGGTGTAACTCCTCTGGTGTCAGTGGTGCAACTAACTCGGTGTTGCCAACTCTTGTAGTTTTATTACAAGGTGCACAGTAATTTCTGCTTTTCTCGAAACCCCAGCTCCCGGCAGCGTGTGCTGAGGTGGGAGTCTCAGCTTTCATGTGCAACCAGACCTGAGTTTCTCAAGAGGCTATAGCAAAAACCCAGAGACACGTAACCCTCAAAGCTCAGAAACCAGAAGGCAAATCAACTCCAAATCCACCTTTTACTTTTCGGCTCTTTTTCGATCTCTTGATTTTTGAGATTTTTTTTTTTTTTTCCGGCCTGACTTGTGACCTTTGAACGCTTCAGGTTGGCAATGCTGCTCCCTCCATTGGCATCAGTGGAGTTAGACCAGGGATGAGTTTGGCCCAGCGCTTGTAGAAGATAGGTGTTTGACTCTGTTCCTTGCAATGTATTATTTGATATGATCTGCTGTTCTCTTGGGGGCCAAAAGAAGTGGGTTTTCTTAGAAAAATAAAAATTCTATCATCACTTGATACAAAAAATGGTATTTACAGAATTGTTTTCCCCCGTCTTTTGTTATAATTTTTTAGGTGCTTCAGAGCTGGGCCCATTTTCAGATCCCAGGCAGTTCACAAGCATTTCATCCCTCACTGAGAGCCGCTTCTCCAACCCACGAATGCACTATCCAGCCACCTTTACCTATACACCGCCAGTCACCTCAGGCATGTCACTGGGTATGTCCGCAACCACTCACTACCACACCTACCTTCCACCACCCTACCCCGGCTCTTCCCAAAACCAAAGTGGACCTTTCCAGACCAGCAGCACTCCATATCTCTACTATGGCACTTCGTCAGGATCATACCAGTTCCCCATGGTGCCGGGAGGGGACCGCTCCCCCTCCAGGATGCTTCCTCCGTGCACCACCACGTCCAACGGCAGCACGCTGTTAAACCCTAACTTGCCCAACCAGAGTGACGGTGTGGAGGCGGATGGCAGCCACAGCAGCTCCCCAACCGTCTTGAATTCTAGTGGCAGAATGGATGAGTCCGTTTGGAGGCCGTACTGAGATTTCTTCTGTAGCCGGCCCGACCTCCGCAAGCCAAAAAAAAAAAAAAAATTACCAATATGTGCAACTGTATAGATGGGATGATAATGGCCATAAATAACACAAGAGTTACCAACACACCACAGCCCATGTTTCAGATTATGTGGATCAAAGCACATATTTTTATTTTTTTTTTCTTGAAACCATTTTGCCTTGTTTTATATTTAAAATGTACTTTCTACACACACACACAAAATCACCCCCTTCTTTTTTTTTTCTTTTTTTTTTTTTTCTTTTGGTCTAGAGTGTTGTAATAACTGGTGAGTTCTTTTGCCAATGAGGAGAGAATGGACTCCCCAGCTATGAGGAGAAACGTGGTGATGCAGGGCAAGGGCTGCATTCCCTTTTATTTTTTAATTAAAAAAAAAAAACAACCATGAACTCCAGATACAGTTGCAATCATACAACGTATGGAACCCTCTTCACACCCGTAGTGCAATTCAACAGGCTTGTATTGGTGCACATAAAAAGGAAAGCAAAGATCGAGTTGTTTCCATTTTGCAATACATTCAGATGGAAACAACTGTCCCAAAAAACTCTGTCCGAGCCTTGCTGCAGATAACGGTTGGAACTTCTCTGTGTTCATTGCTTTTTTGGTTTGTTTTTGGGTACGAGTCTTCAAGTTAGGCTAGACAACCCTGGGGTTTCCTTTTTGCTTTTGTATCCGTCATTTTGCCTTCGATTAGCCAAAAACCAAAAATAACAACCAAAACCTTTAAAAACAAAAAACAAAATGTTATTGCTTATGCAAAATATGAAAATGGCAATATATATTACTAGAGCCAAAATGGTATACATAGTATTTGTGTTCGGCTATGTTCTTTTTTATTTTTTTTTTTAAATTATAAATGTGTAAAAATTTGAGGTTGTTTGCTAACATGGATCATCATATAACTTTAAAAGAATATTTATAATTATTTAATGACATTTGGACCCTTTAAACGTTTCTTAATGTAATGATATATTGACTTCGGTCTCTAAAAGTGTTTTTGTTTTTATTTTTTATTACCTTCTGCAATGGTGTAAACCTCAAACCTTTACCCAACTCTGAAAAGCAGTTCCAGTGTGAATCAGTTTACAATGTGACTTAAAAACGACAAACTCAACCCAAATGCATCCACATCAAATGATTTTGGATGTAGGATCTTTTTATATAACTTATGAAGGAAATATTGTGTTTAAAATATTTTTATTAGCTGTCTGGTTGCCTTCAACACAGTCTTGCCTTTTAATCAGTCATTGTGGAGACACTGGAAAAATGGTAGGAAGGATGAAATGTTTTCCACCCTTCCCCTAATTTCTTCTTCTCCCAGGATTTTTCTCAGAACTTCCAAATTTGAAAATATTCATATTTAGAATGTTCTGTTTTGACAGCATGATTTGAATTTCGACAGGGTTTGTTTTTTTGTTTTTTGTTTTTTGTTTTTCCCAAAGAAAAATCAAAACCATTTCAAAAGCCCGTATTTTAAAAAATGATGACTTGTTAAATATCTCAGAAATGGGATTAAGGGAGAATTGGTGAAACTTTTTCCCCTCCCCATGCAATTTCAGCCCACTCAATGGAATAAAAAGGTTCAAAACTTGAGACAGAAACTGCCTGGTAGCGCATCACCGCCCGTTAGCATTAAATGCTAGAGCCATGGGGATTCTGTGTTGTCTTTGAAGCTGATGTGGCTGTTGCCCGGTTAGGGAGACAAGGCCAAGGGCAGCGACACTCACCTCTGCCAGCGCTGAAGATAAAAAGTCACCTTGAAACCCACCCTGGGGCTCCCAGGCGTGCTACTACAGGGAGAGCAAATTGCACCCCAAACCCTTAACCAGCCTGTCTGCTGCCAAAGTCTCCAGCGGAGGGGCCCAGATTTTGGCCAGCCCAGGGCTGCTATGGCAAACAGGGAGGCGACGCAGCATCGGCTGGATGCGGAGGGAGCTAAACTGCCCTCCCCACGGGATCCCCAAGCAGGTTGCTGGTTTAGCAGGATGTGCTGGTGGGGTGTTGCCGGCGCTCCCTCCTTCCCCCGCCTTAGCCATCGCCTCCTCGGGGGGCTGTCGGCCACCACGCTGCTCCGTGGCTGTACTTTGGCTACCTCCAAAGTATCGTAATCAGTCAACGGTGGGCATAGCCATACAGAGACGGACAACACCGTCACCGCTCGTTGATAGCGAAGCTGTTAAACGAGTTGACATTAGCATGGTACATCCCTCCCATTTGCGTGATGACGTGCTCTTAAAAAAAATAAATTAATAAAGTCTTTGCCTTCTAAAGGTTGTATACCAAGTATGCTTAACGTATAAGTAAGACACTTTTTTTTCTTCTAATACTTAGTTTTCCTTCAAAGATGGAAGCTGTAATTGATTCTATTTATTGTTGGTTTGTGGTAGCTTGAAGCATACCACTGTCCATTTATTTGTAACTGTAAAATACGTTTGTTAGTCTCAGCAGCACTTAAAAAGCCAGTGTCTGGTTACACATTTCAGTTTTGTTTTTTGTTTAGTAAGCAAGAGAAAAAGATGTACTGCCAGTGCAAGCTGTTTCCTATTTAATAAAAGGTACTATATTTGTACATTATTTGTTATTGCTGAGAAGGGCTTTTTAAGGTTTACTGTATGCATATTAAGTAATTTTTAGGGTGCTTTTGTGTTGAAATGTTGTTAAGAGTGGCTGCAGGCAGCAACCCAGAATTTTTTTTTTTTTTTTTTTTTTTTTTTTTTTTTTTTAAGACTTTGTTGTAAAATTCAAGCACTTGGTTTTTGTTTCTGGATAAATCCAGCACAGACCAGACTTTTGTTTTGCTCAGTACCAACAGGACTCTGTTTGTGTCCCCGCGGTTTTTCAACTGGACCATTAGGGACAGACGTTGAAAACATTTTCTCCTCCAGGTCGAGGCACACGTGCCCAAACCGTGCCCTCAGTTTCCCTGGCCGTGTGGGCAGGCGTCTTGTTCTGCCTTCTCGAGGTAGGAAGGAAAGGATTTTCGGACGGAGGAGCACCAGCCCCTTGCGTCTCAGTAGACCCCGTGCTCCTGAACCCTCCTGGTGCCTTTGGAAAATCTCTCCCAGTACGTCAGGTTGGTCACGGAGGGGATTTTGCAGGCTGAGGCAGAGATGCTCATCAAAGCTTTCGGAAAATGCTTTCGAGTTCACTTGGAAATGCTCTTGAATCAGCATTTCAGACCGAAAAAAACCTCAGCCGGCGCTGTGTAGTAAATCATATCAGAATATTAGGCATTTTGCGAGGTGCTTAGCATCAACAGAAAGCAGTTTTCTCAAAGGTGCGACAGCCCTTTCCTTCGGTGAGTGGCAATCCTTGGCACCAGTCATAGATTTAAAGATTAAAAAATGGCCTTTTTTTAATGTTCCAGCTGTCTTATCCTACCAAAGATTTCCTTCTAGCACAACAGGCACGATGTCCCTTTTGCCGAACAGAGGATTAAATCCTCCTCTCCCTCCTCCTAAGGGTAACCAGCTCGGGGTCAGCGGGTCGGGGCGGATGAGTAAAGCAAATGATTGAACCCACAGCATCATTCGTGTGGCGTTTATCGTTTCTTTTAAAAGACCAGCTGCTGTGTCTTTCTTAGCATTGAACTTTTTTGCCAGCAGTCCCCTGAACAAAGATTTACTGGTTTCCACAGGTACCATCTTGAGTGGGGAAAATTTTGCACTTTCACACTTCGCAAAGCAAAGCTCAGCCCTGCGCCGGGCTGCACGCGGCCAACAAAAGCCATGAGCAAAAGCAATAATTAAACCCGGATCAGCCATGAGCTCAAAGAAGCCCCATTCTCTGAATCCCTGAATTTCTTCTTGTTTTTAAATAGAATGCATTTCATTTTAACATTTTCTGAGAACTTTTTTAGATGTTTGTTTACTTCCATGTTTACAGATAAGTCTTTGCTTTTTTTTTTTTTTTTTTTTAATGCAGTACTTTTAAGTATATCAGCCAAAACCATACTTTTACAGTAACTTTTGTTTTAGGTAATATGAGTGACATTCCAATTTTTTTTTTCTTGTTGCTAAATAATGCTTTACCAGTCTTGGATTTCCGCTGGAACAAAATATTTGTAGCATTTTATGTAAATACAAGCTTTAATTTTTTATTTTTTCAAATGCTGCCACCCGAGATTTGCTTTTCATGCACATATTGTACAAACACACTCTGCTTTATGCCACAGACGATGATTGTGGATCAGTTTACTTCAACTTCAAAGGGACTATTTGTATTGTATGTTGCAACTGTAAATTGAATTGTTTGGCATTTTCTCATGATTGTAATATTAATTTGAAGTTTGAATTTCATTTTCAATAAAATGGCTTTTTTTTGTTAATGTTCTTCTACGCTTCTTTTTCTTCCACTGTCTCCTCTTAGCACCAGGCAGGGTAAAGTAAGTACATGGTAGGACACAGTACCGACCCATCAATTTCTGTGGTGCTTGACTTTTCAAGTAAATACCAAAAGCAAGTTTCCAGACCTGTGGGTGGTAAAGGACACCTTCTAAATCTGATCTCAAGTGTTGCTTCTTTTCCTTAGTCTGCAAACTATCAAAACCTTCCTTTCTTAGAGGAGTGCAAACTGCTCCATTCATCTTGCTAGATCGTTAACTCTGAAACCTAACAACTGACATTAGCTGGGACATTTTGGTGCTAAGGCGCTGTGGGCAGAGCCTGAAGTATAGGAAAAGCTGGAATAGATTTCCAGACTGGAGGGGGAGGGGAGTGATTGGGGTTTATGGCGTTTTTCCAGGATGGGGGTTGCACTGTCCCCACCTCTTCCTGGTCAAATCTGAGGAATGCAGTTACAGATAATCTTGTGATTTGCATGGCCTGAGGCAAGAATAGTTTCCAAGCAGCAGAAGATACGTGGATAGGGAGGAGACTGGGGGAGGAGGGTATTTTTCCTCCAGCCTAGTGTCAGGGGTAGGAAGAGATGCAGCTAATGAAGGTGAGGTGAAGTTCAACCAAGGCAGTCT